CACAATCAGAGTAGAAAATAGGATAGATTAACTCAAAATAGTGGAGGTAAAAGGTGCGGACAGTGAAATGGCAATGAGGGGTGCATATTGGGTCATGATGAGAAACAAAGGACTGACTGACTAGGAAGAAAATGAAGTGGAGCCAAGAGAGGGCATTATAACTAAGAAATTTTGGAAGGGCCCAGGAAGACTTGATGAGACTGTAGAGCAGGTACAAGAGAAGCAGAAGTGGGGGCAGGGTGAGGCCTGAATGTCACGATCTGAGGGTAGTATTTCTTAAAATTCTAGAAATTGATGTTTTTCAGGTGTAGCTATGGGTCTGAAGCTGAGGACCATGCGAAATAAAAGGTCAAGGAATTATGAGATTAGCTGTTATCTGGCAATCTTCGTAGATACTGGTCTCCAGAGGATGTAAAGACCCAGAGGGATTGGGTAGAGAGGGAGGTGGGAGGGGGGATCGGGATGGGGAATACATGTAAATCCGTGGCTGATTCATGTCAATGTATGACAAAACCCACTACAATGTTGTAAAGTAATTAGCCTCCAACTAATAAAAATAAATGAAAAAAAAAAGATTAAAAACGAACAGTAAGAAAGAACCAGATCCCAAAAATCTCCATGAAGGTGTACACAATAGAGACAAGAAATAAATGTGGGAATGGTGGATATTTCAATAAAATATTATTTAAGTAAGAGTGGAAGAGACATGTCCTAGTGTTTTGGAAGTTAAAAAAAATGGAACTAGGAGAGTTTCACCATTACTTTAAGTCTTTACATGTGGAGGGGTTATAAGATTAATGAAGTGGGGGGAGGTTGAGGATAAGAATGAATTTACATTCATTTGAGAGATCCTTCAGGAGTAATCCAAGTAGGAGAAATCCAGGTTTTGCTTAAAGCAAGGAGTCTACATAGAGGAAGTGTTCTGTGAAAAAGCTAAGGGCCCCTACTTTCTAGTACATTGTTGACCAAAAGAATTTTCTGCAATGATGGATATGGTCTATATCTGACTGTCCAATAGGTAGTCACTAGCCACATGTGTTCATTGGAAGCACTGATGTTGAAGCTGAAACTCCAATACTTTGGCCACCTGAGGTAAACAGCTGACTCATTTGAAAACACCCTGATGTTGGGAAAGATTGAGGGCAGGAGGAGAAGGGGACAACAGAAGATGAGATGGATGGATGGTATCACCGACTCAATGGACTTGAGTTTGGGTAAACTCCGGGAGTTTGTGATGGACAGGGAGGCCTGGCGTGCTGCAGTTCATGGGGTTGCAAAGAGTCAGACATGACTGAGAGACTGAACTGAATTGAACTGAAGCCACATGTGGCTGTCGAGTAGCTGAAATGTGGTCTGTGAGACTAAGGGACTGGATTTATAATTTTTTTCAATCTCAATTAGTCTAAATTTATATTGAGGGCTTCCCTGATAGCTCAGTTGGGAAAGAATCCCCCTGCAATGTAGAAGACCCCAGTTTGATTCCTGGGTGGGGAAGATCTGCTGGAGAAGGGATAGGCTACCCACTCCAGTATTCTTGGTAAATAGCCACATGTGGCTGGTGGCTGTTGTATTGGACAATGCAGTTCTAAAGTCTTTCTGATAGCTGTCAATAAATGTATGCTTAGTTATGATAAAAGGTTACCCTTTTAAGTGGATACTTGTATTAGAGGAGACAATGACTAAAATTAAAGAAGGAAATTCCTGAATGTAGAATTTCAAGTACTGTGTAACAGCATGAAGGCCACTAGTTTGGGAGTCCACAGGCCTTTCTAGTGCTTTTCAAATTAGACCATATAAGTGGTCATCTATGAATAAAGTGAAAGTGAAAGTCACTCAGTCGTGTCTGACTCTTTGTGACCCCATGGACTATATTGTCCATAGAATTCTCCAGGCCAGAATACTGGAGTGGGCAGCTTTTTCCTTCTCCAGGGGATCCTCCCAATTCAGGAATTGAACCCAGGTCTCCCTCATTGTGGGTGAATTCTTTACCAGCTGAGCCACCAGGGAAACCCAAGAATACTGGAGTGGGTAGCCTATCCCTTCTCCAGCGAATCTTCCTGACCCGGAATCAAACCGGGGTCTCCTGCATTGCAGGTAGATTCTTTACCAACTGGGCTACCAAGGAAGGCTAACCTTAATTAGCAAGGTTAACTTTATTAAATGCCAACTACATGCACAATGTCATAATAAGCAATATCTCCATAAACTGCACATGGCACAATCTTAACCACAGCTGAAGGGAGGAAGGAATAAGTAGGGTGAAGTAGAGATGTTGGATACAGGGAGACAAAACATAATTAAGACTCCAGCTCATGTACATCTTATTTGGAATCCTGATTTCACTAAATCATTTGTGCATTAAGATTTCAGAAGTGACTAAAGAGTTGTTGCATGTGAGCAAGAGTATTAAATTTGCTGGTAACTGACTGACTGATGGTGTAGGTTAACCTCTTGGTTGAGGTCAATGTTATTTGTCAAAATGGTGATTACTAGGCTATTCTGCAGCAATATTCTGAGTATACAGGAAATTTTAAAATAGTTTGAAGAAAGGCAGAGATGGAGTGATTGATTGATGGAACACTCACTAATCTGGTTGTTGGCAGTTTCTGGAATTAAATAGTATACAAGTTGTAGATAAAATAACAGGTATCTTGAAACTGTGACAAATTAATAATAATAAAAAACATGGCTTTGTGCAATAATTTTTAAAATGCTAAATATCCATGTGTTTCACACATGGAGTTAGTATACTATTATATTAATACATAACATTTATATATATATATGTTATATTTAAATTAATAAATACATTATTAACCCAAACTTATGGTTAAGTTTTCTTAGTTTGCTTATGGTTATCCATACCATTAGTGGGACAGAATTTATTATTTTATCTGTTATATCACTAAGCTTTACCAGATCCTCTACTAAAGGAGGATCATACTCAATACATACATAATACATACTCAGTACAAGTACTATATTGTCTCATTTTGTGAGGTACTAAACTGCTAGAAAAGGAAGGCAGTGAGAGATTCTTTCATGATATGGGCCAAACAGTTTGGAGCTTGTGTAGCCATTATAACTTGGGGCTTATTTGCTAATGGGATCCGTAACAGTCACCTTGTTTGATCTCAGGCCTTGAACAATTTAATAAGAGTAGCTGAGGATACTTAATATTGGTTACTAGTGATCTTTCACTCAGATTTTGTTTTGTGTGTTTCCTTTAATTGGAGAATAATAAGGTTTACTTGAAGGACATAAGTGGAATAGTAAAACAATTGGGGTTTGATGCAGACTTCAGGTTATTATTTAGATTTGTTTATCTAATAGTAAATGCAGAAATATTTCTAAATAATTAAGTTCCAAACAGCAGTGATAATCTTGCAAATCTAACATGATTTTAAAGTTTATTTTCCAAAGAAGAAATCTATCATCTATAAAACCTCTGTGGGTGAGATGCCAATGCTGCTTAAGCCAACTTAATAGATTAGCCCAGCATTATATCAGAGATGCTAGTTTTTTATATTTTATTTCTATTGCTAAATAAATAACCTTGTACTTCTCACATAACCTTGAAAGCACAAAGGAAGGATTCTTATTTCACTGCCATAAATTAACCTACAAGAATACCTTGAGAAATAAAAGGGAAAAATCCAATGGTACCAATAAAATAGGAGTATCTTCCTCTTCATAGGTTTGCTATGAAGACCATGAGAAATAATGTATATATGTAATGCTCTTTGCTCCATGCCTAGTATCCTGTAGGTTTGCAAAAATGTCAGTTCTCACCCGTCTTCCCATGACTTCATACTGAATCAAAGCCCATCATGTTATTATCTGAAAAACTCATCACTAACATTCATGACAACTCTAGACACAGACTTCTCAAGAAAGCATGGGAAAGGTTAATAACCATCTCTAGATTATGCAGATAGAACACTGTCAGTGTTGGCTTAAGCACCCCAGATCCTACCTTGACATTGCAATCGCAAACCTTATCCACCTTCCAAATGTCAGGGCTTGCGTTGGGCTTGTTGCTGTAGATGATAAAAACTATTAGGAAAAAAAAAATAGTGCGGACGAAATAAAGAAATATTTTATTTCCTTCCCAAAGACCAGAAGAACATATTTGGGGACTGAAAAGTATAGTTAAATATTCTATAACCTGTCTCCCCAAAATATAGAAAAATTATGTAATTACCCCCCTTCCTTGGGGGAGAGGTAGATGACTCTCAAAGATCAAAGCATCAGGGTGCAAAGAAATTCTACTTTCCCAAAAGGATGGTATTCAGTGTGACTTAAATACTGCAAAAGAAATGCAATCATCATGGTAATCATTTTTTCCCCCTGTGGGGCGTGTCAGTTGGCCTTTTTCATTGTGTCTGTACATATGTAGTGAGCTACAGAAACACTTGATTTCTACTGTGTTCATATTTTGATTGTCAGAATGGCTGCTATGTATCAATAAACTTAAACTCCAGAACAGAGATGTCCTTTGCACCAGTGTGTGTGTGAGGTCACAGATGTCTGCAAACTGGGGAACTCAGAGGTTACCTACGTACTGCGCAGCACGTCCCCTAACTCCAATCATTTTAGCTCAATGCTTTTTCCCCCTAGAACAAGGTTTTCCCTCCGTTAGCCTGCCTAAAAGGTATGTGGTGAAGGGTATATGCAACTTAGCAGCTTCGCAATCCGATGTTTCCATGGCTGGGACTTGTGATGGTAAATATTAATGAAGAAGCTGCGCAGTACTGACAGTGATTCTTGACCAAATCAGATATTCTCTAAGTACCGAATGTCACCCGCTGAATTTGAGTGGGGGAGCACCGTCGCTTTAAAGGGGTCTCGGACACAACACAAAATGTTTGTCACCTCAGGTCGCATATTACTCAACAGGAAGCAAAAAGCAAAGGGCACGGCACACTAAAGAAACAGACACACAGACATGTTTTGCAATGACGAACTTTATGTGGCATCAGGAATGGCAACTTGTTCTCATGTTTAGCAATTCCAAGGTACGCTGTTAAGATTGCTCATCAGGTTAAACCGAATAAATGAACCGGAATACAGAATACGAGGGAGCGCTGGAGACTCCTCGGCAATCCCTTTCAAAATACAAAACTGTCACCAAGTGACTTAGGTAAGCTAATAAAAAGGCTCGCTGTATGCCCTTATATTCTCCTCTTAAACTTACGTGACCATCAGCAGCGCTGCTCAAATTCAGCCAACAGCTGTTACACCAAGACAGATCCGCAGTGTTTATCTCCCCTGAGTTATCGGTGTTCACTGAGACTCTCCGAAAATTAGGGTCGGTTTTCAATGAGAACTTAATAGAGGATCCTTCACCCCACCTCCGCTCCCACTAGTCCAACCCTTGAGCCCCCTCCCACTTGCCCGATATAAGATTTCTTAAAAACGTAGACCATACCCCCAATTCAGCTGCACCTTCCGCAGCCTGAACCTTTACCCAGAGACACCCACGTTCAGTCTCTCTCTCGTTCTCTCCTCCCTCCCACCTGACTTCTTGAGACCCCCCGCCCACCTTCAGTTACTCTCTCGGCTTCCCAGGCGCCTCGTTTTTGAGACCAGCGCCTCCGCCCAGCGCTTTCCCTTGTCGAGCGCCCCCACCCCACCCCCACCCTTCTCAACCTCCTTTGACACTCCGGTGCCCCTCCTGTGAAACCTAAGCCCCTCTCTCCTCCCAGGGACCCTAGTCTCTCGGCCATCTGCATATTCTGAGTCCCTGCAACCCCCCCCGCCCCCGTGCGCCCCTCACCTCCCGCCCGGGTCAGTGCGGTCCTGCAAGCTGCAACCATCCGGGACCTGTCCCCGCTCCCCACCCCAACCCCCGCCTAAACCGTTAGTGTCTTGGCTAGCAATGCCGCCCGGGGCTCCAACTTACCACAAGCGTCCGGGAGGAAGGCAAGGCAGCGGTCGCCGCGGCGGCAGCTAGACGAGAAACGGACTCGGCTGCAATCGCCCAGCGGAGCCCGAGGCAGTCAGTGCGCTGCGCTGCGCGCCGCAATCTCGCGCCTCGGCGGAGGAAAGGATGGAGGGAGCTCGGCGCGATAGCAAGCGCCGGCGAGTCGACCTCCTCTGGGCCACCGTGCGCCCCCCGGATAGGTTTGGCTTCTCTTGTTCCCCTATCTTATTCGAGCATAGTAACTGACCACCTCCAGCATCTCTGCACTATTCGCGTCTTCTTTCTTCTTTGGTGGCCCCTAACTAACTACACTATTCTAAACGGACGAAGGCCATCAAGCGAGCACCACGACGATCTCGACGACTCCGACGACAACGTTGTGCAAGAATAGGTAAGAAAAGTTCATATGCAATCTCAGGTTAGGGGCAGGCAGGCCGATGGAGCAGCCACGGCTGCCAATCTAGCTACTCCAAAGGCAGGATCAGAAAGATCGGTGCACCCGAGGAGTGGAGCGTCCTCGGCGAGCACCAGAGCGCCTACCCAGCGCTGGTGAAACTGCACAGCGCTCTTGGGCTAGATGAGGGATGAGGGGTGGAGCCAAGAGTGTCCAATCAGCTTTCAGCGTTCCACTGCCCCTGGCCTGTTTGGACCCGTCTGTTAGTGCAACTGGAGCCTGCTGGCAGGGGGCGCGAGACTCGGTGGTGGTGGTGATTAACTTGATTCAAGAAGCCTGGAGATTGGGGGGAACTAGGATCAGTCACGGGGGTGCGGGTGGTTCTCAAGAAATGTGCCCCTGAAGATTCAAAGAACACCCCTCCACGAATACACACACACACCCCACACCCTTGAACATTTGGGTTCAACAAACACTTCTTAAGTCTTGGAAGTTCCAAAGAACTTTGAAACTCCCTCCCCTTCCCCCAGCCGAGCAACTGAGGCATTCACAGTATCAAATACACGTTTAGTGTGAAAGGCCATGGCCTTGTTTTAAGTGTCCATTCCCCACCCTTGTCCCCAGCCCCAAATGCAGAGAATAGAAACAGGAAAACACTTGGCCTTCGTGCCCCAAAACAGCACGACTTTGTTCCCTTCTTGAATCCACAGGCCCCGTGCTAAGTGCTTAGAATGACACCCTCAAGGCAACATCTTCGGGGTTTCTAAGGTGGGGCTGCATCTATTTCTCCCCTCGGACCTCGTGGGCCACAGCCAAGTGGTTTGCCTGACCGCTGCGAGGGCTGCCATGACATGGTCAAGGCAGCAGGGCAGGGGATGAACCACCAAGCTCCCTTTTGGCCAAGAAACTGAGCTGTAGCCTGGCAAAGAGAGCTCTTCTTCACTGGCTCCTGGGGCGCCAGGCAGGTGCCTGCAACGTCCAGGCTGCAGCACAAAGGGCGGTTGGTGCCACCTTGGCCTAGCCGCTTCGGGGCTCACCAAGACCAAGCTCAGTAGTAACAATGATGCCACCAAGAAAGGGGGAGAGCAGATTTCTCCTAAGAGGGAATGGAAGTGAGAGGTCTCAGGTCCCAACGGAGGCTCCGTGCCTCTATAGAAGTGGTGAGAGAAGTGGGAACTGGCTCCCAGCCGGTCCGAGGTAGCTGGACCTAAGGAAGAGATTGAAATTCTGGTTCTGCTACTTGGGACCAGTTGGCAGAGCAGCGATTATATGGTAGAGGCTACAGGGGGGACGGGCAACAGATTGGAGGATCGAACCCCACGGAGCACAGAAGAGAAGGGAGTCGTTGGCTGCTGAGGGGACTGGTTGCCTCAGTAGCTCTAAAAGTTAGGAATGGGGAAGGAAGTGGGAGCAGCGGTAAGGTTCGGGCTCCTTCACTATTCTTGGAGGGATCTTGGATCACTTCTCTCTGTGCCTTGGTTTTCCGATTTGTAAACGGAGCTTTTGGTTCTTCTGCTCCAATAGAGAATCTTCCGATTCCCTCCATCCCCACTGAATTGAGCCACTTTGCAGGACTCGGAAGTTTAATTTGGCAGTGAACATACTGTCAAAGTCCACACCCAATTTCTGTTTCGCCAAGCAAAACCCTTTGCAGTTTCCGTGAAGCATCTGTTGAATGCTGTGTGATGCCGCACAGGTGGCGGCGGCATCGCTGCCAAGTTCTTGAACTGTACAACATCGTTAGAAATGCTTTGTTAGCGAATAATAATTTATAAACATCAAAGAGAAAAAGCGTGTCTTTTTAAATAATTAAGCACTCATCTTTTAAAATGCCCCATGTTCTCTTCTTCAATCCCCATGAACACGTAGTGCTTCATCCTGACTTGTCTGGCGGGACTTAGGTTTATTTTGTCGGAGGCTGAGACATTGGGTTTACTAAAAGAAACAAGTGTAAATATTAATCCCTATAATGTATTTGCCAAGGCACAGTAGACTGCAGAGCCGAGAGCCAGAGATAGCATCGGCCGAAGACAGGGACCTTTTCCCTCTCAGCGGCTCCCAGGGGAACCGGTTAGGCTTAGAGACGCTGAAGCAAATAACAATGGTGAGGAGGAAGGTGAGGAGGATAATAATAATAATAACAGTGATTATGACCATTATCATTACTACTACTACCACATAACTGGCTCTTTAGGAAGTTCCCTCTCCCTTAGAAGGACAAAAGTGCCGAAGGGACCCAGGGTGAAGGCCACTCAGGGAATGGGAAGGTTCCCGGTGCAGCAGAGAGAAAGTTAGCTAGTCCGGTGGCTGTATCGCGCCTGGGCTTCCGAATCGGGGAGACAACCAGGAAGGCAAGCTCGCCTTTGAGTGGCGCTCGCCGCGCGTCTGGAAACCGAGAGGACCTAAGCGGAGCCGGGACGCAGCCGTGCTCGGGGCTCCCGCTTCAGCCCAGAGCGCCGGCTCCGCTTCCCCGGCCCTGGCGGCGCATTTTGCCTTTTCGGGTTCCCTAGACGGCCGGCTAGCCGAGCCCTGGCGGATCCGATGGGCCTTGGAGGTTCTGGCAACACTAGCCGGGAGAACAGAGTGTACGCAGAAATTTAGCGCGCACTTTTAAGATCAGGCACAGGTACGTGCCGGAGCGCTCTATCGTAGACAAAGAGGTTTTCTCCAACCTCCGCCTAAAGTGTCCTGGGGAATCGGGCCAAAGTTTTCATGGCTTTCCCTTCCCTTCCTTAGGTCTATGGAAGTTTTCCTTGGAAAAGGGAATTATTTACTGCGAAGTCCGAGTTTGATGCAAAACCCCAGCGTCCTCAAAGAGTTTCCAAAAACGCGCCCATATTATAAGAATATATGACATGCTTTTGCAGCTTTCCCACGAGGGACATTTCCCCCCACCTCAAATAGGTACCTCTCCAAGCCTATTGATTTAAAAATTCAGGGACACATTAAAGAAGATTGTTACTAAGTAGGAAAAAGTTCCTCCTCATATAAGATTTGGGGAACTTCCTTATAAATAATATTAATTGACTGCAAAAGTTCAATGCTCAGAGAGCCCTATTTTAACAAACCTAAAAGATTTGTGACCAATTTAAAAATGTGTGACCTGGCTCTAGAAAAATACTTCAAGGCAGGTATTTTTGCAGAGCAAAAGAAGCTACACAAAAATTGTACAGGGAGATTCCCTCCGCCCCTTGTTTACCACAAGACATAAATGCAAGACATTTTGAGAACCCTTCCACCCATATTTCTTTTCCTCAGTTTAAAAACAAATCCAGAGAACCAGAAGGGTTTTCTTTTTTTGGTAATTATAGAATTGTATAAAGTAATACTTTTAGCATTTCATAGTTTTGGAATACAAAATTCCAACCTGGAAAAACTCAGAATCATATCCATAATGAGCATCGCTGAGGTATGACATACTCTCAATAAACTTTAATAATATTTTACCCAGCAAATTTATCTCTTACTGTTTCTCAAGCAGGGTCATTGCATAGGAAAAAAAAAAACCTTAGAGATGGCTCATTAAACATGAAGTCTTTTCTAAGTTGCTCTGATTACTTTTAATGAAAAAACAAAGCAGTTGAACTCTATGTGCTGTATAGGAAGGCAGGGGGCAGTCTCTGATCATGTCAGTCTTTCTCTAAGTGCACTTTCTTTTTGGAAAGATCCCCTGTTTTAGCAAAAAACAATTATCAATTCTGGTTCCTTGATATCCTCACGGATGGGAAGAGAAACTAAAAACCCTTTGGTAGGATTTGGAAGTTCCCATCTACATATTTTTGCCACTTCTCAGAATAAAAAGGTATATCAAGATTAAAAGTCTATGCTTAATTTTTTTTCATACAAGTGTTATTGATTCAGTTCAATTGTATCTGACATTCTTGTAGTTGTGGCTTCTAGTAACCAAATATGTATTTTAAAAGCAACATTCTATTCATGCAAGTTTGAGTAGGAAAGGGCACGGAATCTAGCAGTCTCACCAAGAAGGAGAAAAAACTAGAAACTAGTAAATGTCATTTCTTTAACGAAACATGTGTTGTCATGGAGCCATTTATGGTTTGATGAATGCATCTTATATGTGTCTTATTTATGCATGCATTTCACTCTTCCAGCTTAGGTTGAGAAAGAGGGCAATTAGGGCCTTTTGTTCAAATTAAACTAAGATTGAAAGGCCAGGGCAACAGTAATTTTTCCTTTATTCCTAACTCAAGACTACTCAGTCCCAGAACTAGCATTCTTGCAACCTCTGTGATTTATTCTAACTATTTCAGACCACTTTGATCCCTACTCAACATTTCTGTGGGCTTCCCTGGTGGCTCAGATGATAAAAGAATCTGCCTGCAATGCAGAAGACCTTGGTTCTATCCCTGGGTTGGGAAGATCCCCTGGAGGAGGGCATGGCAACCCACTCCAGTATTCTTGCCTGGAGAATCCCCACAGATGGAGGAGCCTGGCGGGCTACAGTCCATGGGGTCACAAAGAGTTAGACACGACTGAGTGACTAAGCACAGCACAGCAACATTTCTGTAGTAATTTTGTCATGCAACAAAACATTTGCTTGTTTAGGAGTCATCTCTAAAGTAATGGGCTTAATTTTCTTGGTCTGTAAAGCAATCTTACTGTCTTATTTCAAATGAGGTACACCTAACATTGCTATCAAATTCTTCCTTTTCTCTTTGTTAGAACTCTCTCCTCAACCAAATTAGAAGCATTTCAGGGGCAAGGATTTAGTCATATACATTTCTTCATCTCCTTTGTTCTCATCTATCATAATACTGGGCACAATGACAACTACTAATTGTTGACACAAAAGAGGTTAGGATGAAAAAATCAAGAAAAGGACTGCTAAAACCTGAAATTCTCAATGACCTGAATATAAACATTGAAGATATTTTACCAAATTGGTCCATCATGCAAAGAGATCATGAAGGTTAGGACGGACCGAGATGAAGCTTAATAGGAATAAATTTGATATGCTGAACTTTAAGTACCAAATA